GAAGGAGGTTATTTTTTGCTTGTTTTTGTAATTCTAATTTGCCTATAACTTTTAAAATAAAGCGAAATTCGAGAAAAGAAAAGTTGGATTAAGTTACTACGTTCAGTACGCTCAGGTTCAGTGCAAATTAAAAACCAGTCAAAAAGTCATTGCAGGGCCCCTTTAAGAGCGGTCATACGAACAAAATACTATATTTTCTGTTAGTATTTGCTGAGAAATCACAATATTACCTTGGCACCACACAAACCTAATAAAAAATAGAAGTTTTAAGAAAATTGGTTTCGAATTTTCTAGATTTTTGAAACATTCGTTCATTCAAATGTATATACCGTTGACCCCGAGGACATTAGGGCTGTCTGCCGTCAAGCCTCAAGTGTTATTCCCATAGACCTCTACGCTCCCTATTCCCCCCCCCCCCCCCCCCCCCATCTGTTTGTATTCATCATCACACTATTACGTCATTGCCATCTGTACAAATTCATGACTGTTCAAGCTTGTATTGTGCGGCATCGCAGACCTCTACAGTATTGGCCATCAGCCTTTCTGCGGTGTCGCGGCTTTCCTGAGCCAGAATAAATATTATTATTTATTATTATTTTACGTATATCATATTGAATTCCTGTTCAACAGAAAGGGCGTCGTCGTACAGCATTTTCAAACAATAATTGCTGTATTATGTCTCCTATACCCAGAGATTTTACTTTTTCCACGTGATTAACTATTTTCATTGGTCAAATCTTATAGAAGTGATGGGGACCCAAGGATGCCCCCTCCCCCCGAAGAGAAAATAGTGCTCGTGTATTTCTATTGCTGCGAGTTTACTAGACGTCTTGCCATCTAGAACTGGTCATATTTATTGACTAAAGCCCAACGAACAATATGCCATCAAAAACAAGCTACTACAGAGGCACTTTAGTGCCCCTTTTCTGTATGCTAAAACATTACGTCACACACTGAAACAACTGTGTACCGCAAAGCTTGCAACACAAGTAACTTCTTAAACTTCAACTCGCACATCACCTGGTTGAGCATAAAAGAGCAGTCCTAAAAACCCTGCTACATCGGTCTGAACTTGTTTCTTCTAATCTGGAGCTACGCATATCTGAAGATGCAGTTACTATCAACTCGCTGGTAAAGTGGAAAGCAGATGGGACAAAGGAGGCAGGATAAAACTCTTCTTAGAGCAGGGCTAGTAACGATTTCGTTTAGTAAAAGTGTTTCTGAGTCTGTTTGCAGGGCCCTTGCCACTTTAAACATCCAAACAGCTTTCAAACCTCATCTTAAAGTACATAATTTCGTTATAAGCGAAAAGACAAAAAAAAAAAGAACCAGAGTCCCATTGTGGTGTTGTATATAAATTGAGCTGTCTAGATTGTAAGGCATTGTATATTGGGGAGACCAGCCGTAAGTGTTGCACCCATATGAAAGAACACAAGCAGGACGTGGTGAAAGCCACACATTCCTCTAGGGCAAAGACGGAGCTGGTTGACCATTGTTGTACAACGGGTCACAATTTTGACTTCGAGAATGTGTCGACCTTGGCGCACAAACAAAGGTGTGGTCCACAAAGATACTCGAGTCATGGTGCATCCACTATTCATCGGCTTACAATTCCAACCGCGGCCCCATTTCCGAAGTGTACGCAGACCTCCTTAAAGCGAAACTGAAGCGGGTCTGTATTTGAGGAAAGACATTTAAATCGCATTTATTTAGCCTCCAGGATCACAAATATAAAAAATTTTATTTCAGATTATTGTTCCAAGTAGTTAAAACAGCGCTTTCAATGTAGCACTGAAGCCCCTCTTTCCTGGCGCGTTCGTTGGGAGGGGGAAGTCGTGACGTATTATACAAAGATCTCAACATTTCCTCACCTTCCGCAAGTTTTACCCGAGCAGTCCAAAACGCTGCACGCGTTCACTGACAAGCAGCACTCACAAAGGAGTTGAAACCTCTGGGTATGGCGTCACACACAGCGGTTGGTTTTTCGGTTTTTCTCTCGTCTATTGATACGTCGGGTCAGATGCTTGGGATATCATATTCACAGGACAAAAATACAATAGAAATCGCCTATAACCCGTTTTATTTTTAAGAAACTCTTCAATGTCCTTTTAAATAAGATATCTGGTTTGGGTGTCTCTCATTCCTGCCAACTGATGTATTTCTGTATGTGAGACGAAACGTCTGATTAAATTGTTATATTTGTTACACAAAATTGGTGTAGTTTGTTTCATCATGATGAGTCTTGGCTTCCGGAACATTTTTGAAATTTAGTTTCACAAACTAGGCACATCTAAGTATTTGTACAATGTTTGGGATTAGGACATCATTGGCATGCGGTGGAGCGCTTAAGTGCACACCAAAAATCACACTCTCTCGCTGCGACTCTCCGACTTTCCTAGAAGTTCACCTCCTTTACTTCTGGTTGGAAAAGGCCAATCAATTTAAACCTGGCTGGTGCCACGTGGTGAAATTCTACCCCATAATTGACTGGCGGACAACATAACCATTGGCCGAGCCATCAACGACCTCTACAAACCAGAATGTCGTAACAATTTTTTTTTTTGCTTTGGTTTAGTTTTGTTTCATAGAAAAAAAAGTTTTCTTCCAGCTTTCTCCAGCTGGAAAAAAGCTTTCTCCAGAACGAAAATATTATTTTCCGTAACGGCTAGTAATAGTTGTTGTTTGCGGGCAAAGAAGAAAACTAAATGCTTATTTTTATCAAAAAGTAGGTAATTCAAAAGTTATAGCAACTGTGCGCGTATTGCAATGATATGAAAGAATCGGGGTAAAGGCATTGTGAGGAAAAACGTCCTGAGGCACTGAGCATGTTCTCGGAAGCAACACTGCATAGAGTGTACTCAATGAAATGCAAGACCTCTCTTGACATCAAATTTTATTTTATTTTATTTGAGCGCCGAAAATGCCCGCTCCATGGTGCACAAGGGCTAGTGGATGGTACACAAGGGCTAGGTATTTGCACTAAAGTGTACAGTTCTGATTGGTGATCCTTTTGTTTTCCCCAAAATGTCATTACATTCGTGGTTTTTGGAAGCATTTTGAGCAAGCTTGCTATGTCCGGTGGGCCACTGGTCAAATAAGGGTGAGTGTTAGCCTCCGTTTCGTTTTTCTTGAGAAACACTTCGAGAAACAGTTTGAGGGCATCTTCTGATACTTCTGGGCACTAGAAAATACTGAAATACCTAAACTTTATGCTGGAACCGAAAACTGACTAGGAATTTTTTCGGTTTCACTCTGGAACAATATACTAAATAATGTTTCGATTATGTTTTTGTTCCGCCAAAAATATTGATCTTTCTTTTTTTTTCTTTTTTTTTCTTTTTTTTTTTCTGACACTTTGCAACATAAAATGCTCACCGCCACTGCGGCACCATGCCGGGACTACACGGATCAAATATTGTGATCCCTGAGCAATGATGACGGCGACGCCCAAACATTGCAAAAGATAGAAGACCGATTCAAGCCAGTGGCACAGCCAGGAAACGAGCTTCAGCCTCTCTCCCCACCCCACGAAATCCAGCGTTGTAAAACGCAAGAAAGCTTGCCGTTTTACAATGCTCATCTGACAAGGTTCAAGCTTTAATTGCAGCCATATAAACAAAATGCTATGTATTATACTCATATTTTCTAATAAACCATTATTATACCATGCTACAAATAAAAAATTAAGCGAACAAAAATAGGGTTTTTGAGAAAATCAATTTCGAATTTTCTAGGTTTGCGTAACGTTCATTCATTCCAATGTATGTAGCAGATTTTATTTTGCACATATAATATTAAATTTGTATTTATTGAAAAGAGTGATGCTTGAGCTTTCTGGTGATGTCAAGGTCTTCCAAATATTGTAAAAACATCAAAACATGCAATTCCTGACCGGTGGGAGAAACATCAGTTTTTGCCTCAACCACTTCAATGCTCAATAACTCGAAAACCAAATATCTGCCAATGTCTTTCATTTTAATAATGCTTCCAAAACATTTGTTCTTTTGTCAAAATTGAAAATTCTACTCCAAAAGACTGCCTGAATTGAGATGAAAACACCCAAAGGGCAATGGCCCTCTTCTGAATTGTACATGTATCAAGCAAAAAACCTCACCACTGTTAGCTCATACAAGGTGTCTAGAAAAGATGTTTTGTGCTTACACTGTTGCTCTTTTGTTTTTCTCATTGATAATCATTGATTGTTGCTTGAGATCAACATAGCTGCTCATTCATACGGTTTCTCATTCATGCACAATCAATTTGGCATCAAAATCCACTTTATTTATGTCTCACTTTCTACATTCAGATATTGGATTTCTATTAAATTTGATATTAAAGCTTTCTTCTGTATATGCACATTAGTTTATGTATCAAAGTGAATAAGATTTCAACTCTTTTTCCAGCAGGGATGTCATATCCTTCTCTCTGTTTCTCGGCCAAAATTTGAGTTCTGTTTTTGGTGGCATCCGCTAGTTTTTGCACAACTTATTTTTTTAAGCTCTGGGGAAAATTGGGGAGCACATTGAGATTTGCAGGAAGGGATGAGACTAGTAGGAAGGGAAACAGCCTTAGGAAAGTTGTTGAAAGATCTGTGTCTTCGGAGACTTTGAAACAAAACCTTCTCCCTTGCATGCCATTATTTTATTGTGACAAACTGGGTCCCTTGGGTTCCCAAACCTCTAGTTATTGTCTTCAGTGTTTATTAATTTTTTTTTCCTGTTACTGTTTCTGAAGCTTTGTGTGTTCAACCTCCAGCAAGTCCAACTAAACGAGTGGGGAGTCTTTAAGGGATAATCTTTTCCTTCTATGTTCCGTTTCAGGGATCCAGTCGAGGGGATGAAGAAAAGGGATGCGTAAATGCACTTGCAAAATCAGACCAACATGGTTCCTATTCTGTGCTTTACGAACGTCGAGTGTCTATTTTTGCAAGTAGTTGGCCAAAGTGGAGAAAAAAAATAAAGGCGTTTTGACTTTAGTTGGGGACGTTTGCCTCAACGCAGCAAAGCTGGCAGCAGCCAGCAGGTATGCGGCATGGCCGACGAACTGGAGGGCATGTTCCCCAAGGGGACTGCGCCCATGGTCTCGGATCCAGCTGGCAAGAACCCGCGCACAGTCATTGTGGGAGCCGGTGCAGCGGGGCTCTCGGCGGCGTACAGGCTCTCCCTCGGGGGTCAGACCAACTTCCTCGTCTTGGAGGCACAGAAGAACGCCGGTGGAAGGATACAGTCCTACTACTATGGTAGTGGCCCGGCCTTCTTCTTCCTTTGGACAGCTGCTCCACACAGAGGGTCTCCTTTATGAGGAAAGATGCTGCTCACTTAGCACAGTAAATTTGATCATAGTACTTTCGTGACTAGGAGCAAGTATCATTTGCACTGAAACTTGTTATCTTTAGGTGTGCAACTGTGTCGAGTAGGCCCAGCTTGTGAAAAATTGGTGTCACAGAAATTTCAAATTTTCATGGGTATTTACTGTGCACCCCAAATGAAAGGAAGTCTAAATTAAAATGATTTACATACTACCCTATATCATAAGACTGTGAACAGTGATCCCAAAGCAAACAGGAAACATCTTGTGATCGTGTACCAAGCATAGCAGTTTGATTGGTGTAACTTGAAGTAGCTTTGACTAGAAACGAGTGGTTTGTGTCCCAACAGCCAAAATTGTATGCTACATTACAAGCCCTGGTAGCATTGTTGAGGTGGACTTGAGCTCTCAGCCTAAGCGGGATGAGAGCATCAAATGTGGGCCATTTGTGAGTCCAGTGCTTGCCTGCGCTCTAGATGACAAGGTCCTGGAGCTGGGTGCACAGTGGGTTCATGGAGAGGAAGGCAACCCCTTGTACGGCTTTGCCCTGTCCAACAACCTGCTGGCTGACCCCAGGAGGCACTTCTCCATCGAGGGTAAGGGCCACTTCTGCACGGACCGGGGCACTCGGCTCCCCCAGGACCTGGTGGATGGAGTCGTGACGGTCCTGAACCAGATCAAGGAGGAGCTGGGAGGGAAGCGGCCCCGACCCGAAGGCGAGCTGCTGGCGCTGCACGAGCTCCCGACGTCGGTGGGGGAATATTTGCGGTCCCGCTTTCACGAGCACCTGATGCACCAAGGGGATTCGGAAGACATGGCCAAGATCAAGTGGTCTATCTATGACTGGTACTGGCGCTTTGAGGTCATCGACAATTCCTGCTACAGCCTGGACGAGCTGTCTTTCAAGAGTTACGAGGAGTTTGAAGAATGTCCCGGAACATGGAACATCAACCTCAAGAATGGCTTTTCAAGTGTCATCAAGACCCTGATGGACAACGTTCCGAAAGCGAACATCCGCTACAATAAGCCAGTGAGGCGAGTGTACTGGGACAGCACGCGGGTTCCTTACCGGCAGACCAAGTTGCCCCGCTCCTCCATCAGCAATTCCCAGGAGACAATAGAGGAAAACATTCCGTTTGTTGAGTGCGAGGACGGTGAAATCATATCGTGCAGGCACGTGCTGCTCACAGTGTCGGCTGGTTACCTCAAGCGCCACGTGGACGACTTGTTTGAGCCCAGACTGCCCGAGAAGAAACGCCAAGCCTTGCGAGGCATTGGCTTTGGCACCATCAACAAGATCTACCTGATATTTGCCGAACCATTCTGGGAACCTGGGACAGAAGGCTTCCAGTTAATCTGGCTCGACGAAGAACCAGACAGCGCCGACAACAAAGACTGGTGGCTGCGCGGCCTTTCGGGCTTTGACCCAGTCTATCAAGACCCAAATGCACTGGTGGGCTGGATCGGTGGAAAGGCGTCGGAATATATGGAGACCCTCTCAGACGCTCAGGTGGCAAGTGCCTGTGTGCGCGCTTTGCGCCAGTTCCTCAACAGGGACATCCCGGACCCCAAGGCCATTGTGAGGTGGGTCCAGTCGGCCTGGCTCGACTCGCTTGACCGACTCAGCCCCTGACGACAGGTCGTGTTGGAACAGCAACCCGTACATCCTGGGCAGCTACAGCAACAGGCAGCTCCCGTACGATGCTTCGGAGGCCCTCCTGGAGCGCTTCTGCGAGCCGCTGGTGTCCCAAAGGGCACTACGGGGGGCCTCGCAAGCTGGGTCGGCTGTCCCCTGTGCCATGCACTGGCCACTAGTCCTGTTTGCTGGCGAAGCCACGGACAAGGATTTCTACTCGACTGTCCATGGAGCCATGAGGTCGGGTTTCCGGGAAGCGGATCGCCTCATACAGTTCTGGAGGTTTGTTGCACTGCTTGGAGCCACTCGCTAAAGATGTTCCTTTTTGAATGAATGAATTGGATGCATGCATTTAATGACGCAAGATTTGCCTTCAAGCTGGTTTTAGATGGTTTGGAGGATCTTAGGCATGTGTCCCTCCTCTGATCAACTGTAAAGAAGCAAAGGCTGCCACTGAAAGATTCCTTTGTCACTGCACAGTTCACAAAAATACAGGTGCCAAAAGATTTTACCTGTATCCTTTTGATAGGATTCTTGTGTGAACAGCATTTGATCAAATGTGGCATTGTACTAAAATTAGTACAAATTATACTGACCCTCTCCTGGCTTTAGTAGAACATTGCAGACATTTGGCTGCAGTCTAAATCAACATGTTTTTGTTACTTTTTCTTAGCCTGTTTTGCAACAAAATGTTCAATTTGGAAAAGTAATTTTAATATTCTTTCAATACCGTATTTACTCGCATAGTGATCTCACCCCCCACAACGGGTACCAAAATTTTGACTTTATTTTTCCCCTCGCGTAATGAACGCACCTCCAATTTTCGGCTCTGCGAGTCTTGCATTCCGTCTAATTTAGCTACCCACCAAGCCAATTTTCTTTTGCCACCAAGCGATCAGGCCAAGTCAAGTCAAGCCAAGCCGCTCTCGTAATGGCTGCAAGCGGCCGAAAGTGCATAGTTGCGGAAGTGATCAACCATGAAACCGAGCGGTGCGCACACTTGACGAAGCTTGGGACGAGAAATTGCCCAGCCCTGGACATCCTTCGCCTGTCGGATGCATTGATGTCAACAAACATGTCGTCGTCTGTGGTCCGCTTTCGGACAGTGAAATCGTGAAAGTGGTTAGGCTGAAGAACGGTAGCGTTGCTCTCCGTGCTGAGTGAGCTTCGTAGGGCGCTTTTCCTTCGGCAAAAGGCACGCCGAATTTAAAAAGCATGGTTACTGTGATGCACCCCCGACCAGCCGTGGGTGCACCTCCAGTAGAGGAGATGTGCCACAGCACTTTGCCGTGTCACATTGGCACCTAATGTGACATTTGCACGAAGTGTGTAATTGCAAAAATTGTACGCCGCATAATGAACGCACCCCTCAAATATGTGTCAATTTTTCGGAAAAAAAAAAAGTATTCATTATGCGAGTAAATACGGTATAAGGAAATACATCAAATTCCCTGACACAATCGCATAATGCAATAATATTTCCACATTTTCTAATGATACTATAGCTTATATGCCCCTTGTGAGCTGGGTGGCATTGACACGAGTCAAAATTTTTCAGAATTACTTATTTGGTAGTTGAACCAGTCTTTTTTGCAGCCTTTCAATTATTACACATTCATTCATATAATATCAGTAAGCACTTGCAGTTAGCAGTTACCATAGTTCTATGAGGTAACCCAGAAATGAAAGTCTACAACATTGCAGAGCATTGTACAGTCAAACGCCTTTATAACAAACGCCTCTACTACGAAAGTGCCCATTTAATAAAGTACAATAAAGTCCCGGCCACTCTTTTATGTGGTCAATGTTTTTCTGACCACTACAGTAAACTTTCGTTAGTTCGACCTCAGTTAATTCGACTTTTCGTTTATTTTGGTTGTGTTCAAAAGTCCCGGCGAGCGCCCATACATTTCTATGGGAGGAGAAGTTTGATAGTTCGAACTCGGGAAGACTCCGCATCGAATAATTCGTCTGGAGCGAATGCGCGCGGGCCCACATTGCACGGCACTACGGCAGAAAAACCACCGACATACGGCGAAACACGGGCCCTCTGCTGCAAAGCCGAACGTGCGCAAATATGCGTTTGCTCCTCTACGCCATTGAGATGGACCGTAGCGAATGACGCGAGCCAGCGCAACCAATCTGGCGTGGAGTAGCGCGGAGAACATAGCACGTGGTCCGGTGTGGAGACAGCGCGCGCTCTAAAAGCACTTTTCTGTAGCTTCATGTGTGGTCCATCTTGCACGCCGGAAGGTGGGGTTTTTTTTTCCTTTTATTTTTGTTATTTCTCTCTTTCACCGACGGTCTGGCTGCCCGGCGCCCAAGTCGGCTCGTAAAACTTTTTTTTTTTTTTTGTAGTGCACGATTTTCCGGGGACGTGACGTTTAATTACGTTGCTTTCCGGAGCATGCTTTTGGACACGCGTTTTAAGCGCAGACAGCATTAAACCATCTGTGAGTACTTTGGACAATAAAAGGAAGTTTAATTTTAACCGTTTTTCTGTCCTTTTTTTAATTCGATCATTCGGATAATTCGACCAAATTTCAAGGTCCCGTCGAGGTCGAATTAACAAAAGTTTACTGTACAATGAATTCTTGTTTAACAAATACTTCTGTTTAAAGGAGTACTCCAGCGCTTTCCTCATAGTCCCTAATTTGCATGATAATTTGCTCGACGCATCAACAAGCTGAAATAGTAACCCTAATATTGGGCTAAAATAAATTTTTTTGCAAAGTTATTGAATAGACCATTTGCTAAATCCCCCAAGTGCCCCGGCCCACACTTTAGGAATCATGGGAACGGTGTTCCTTCAGCTCGATTAAAAGGTTAAAAGGCGCAAACAAACAGGACGAAAAAAGGCACGTTTTAACCTTTTAATCTATATGAACCAACTAGCCCCAACCAAAGTCTTATTCCTTCAGCTCCCTAGTGAACAATAATTTCGACCAATTCCATGGTTACACAGTTGTGGGTGTAATTCGGAGTCACCCTTAACAAGCGTATAGTGACCAAGTACCGGTCATGTCACTTTTAAACTTTCTCATCAATGTCAGTGTTTTCGATACTGTGCGTGCTGTTCACCCTTCAACCTGAATGGGCTGCAGAAATCTCTTACATTATTATCATTCTCGTGCAGCTTCAAAGACACTGATATTAAGTTAGAAACGTTCAAAATGCTATAAACAGCCCCACTGACTCCGAGCTAAATTCTGGTTTTTGTTGTGAATTCTCGGCTTCTGAAGTGTTTCCTGCTAACGCAACAATCACGAGAATGATAATATTGTAAGAGATTTCTGCAGCTCAGCCAGGTTGAAAGGTGGATCGCATGCACAGTATACAAAACGCTGACATTGACGAGAAATTTTAAAAGTGATATGACTGGTCCTTGGGGTATATCAGGCGCTCGTTCAGGGTGACTCCGAATTACGCTCAAAAACTGTGTAACCATAGAGTTGGTCGAAATTGCCGTTCACTAGGGAGCTGAAGGAACACTGTTCCCATTATTCCTCGAGTGCGAGCCAGGGCACTTGGGAATATAGCAAATGGTCTATTGACAATTTTGCTTCTATCGTGTTTTTTGAAGGGAAACTTTCCACTGGCAACATTGAAAAGTAGCGTCAACGGAAGGCAAGGGTTCAGTCTTTGGACTGTAGACTTTGCTCCCAACTGATTACAAGCAGTTTCATGGTGTCAAATGAATGCTTTGGAAGCTTGCTCTAGCACCGCGCAGCAGCACGAAGCAAATGCTCGGCATAGTTTTCTTTTTAGACTGCCCGTTCAACCTGCAAGCCTGCCTTTTCCTGATGTCGTGGCACTGAAAAGCGTGGGTTTATTTGAATACTAGTCTTGGCATCATTTTCACGTGTCGATTTCACAATAATTATTGTGAATTTCGCGATACTAAATAGGATACTGGAAAGAGTAAAGGCCGGTGATTCCGAAAATAGAGTTAGTTGGGGTAGCTCAAAACATCGCCGGAGTACCCCTTTAACGAAGCAATTTCGCAGCACAACTAAGCAAAAATGCCCGGTATTATGAATTTTCCGCCGCTCCGCATGTTCTCAGTTTTGGACCCAAATAATTTGTTAAGTGTGCAACCTTGTGACTAGATGGTGCCATGTTACTACGTTGCTGGTTGTGTAGGGCACTTGTACGCAGCAATGTAGTCATGTAGTACCATCTAGACTCAAGGTTGCTCACTTAACAAATTATTTGGGCCCAAAACCGAAAACACTAAACGCGGCGGAAGCAGTATGCGGCACTGCCTCTGCTGCACACTCGTGAATACTGTTATTGGCTTTCATTTTTGCTCATGCCATGGATTGAGTCCGTGCCACTTCAAGGTGAGCCTTTTTTTTTTAACGCTTTGTCCAGGCAATGCGTGCACTCATTCTTTTTATTTTGCATGTATGTCCGCGCATTTGAAAGGACCCGCACAAACAAGAGTACACATAAAAAAAAAAAAACATTTTCATGGGCAGTCACAACTTTTTTTATGCTGTCTTGGCATTTGTTCGACCGACGTGCCGATATTCATCAGGATCCAAGATTCCCAATCTTGCTCTATCCGAGTCCCAAACTGTTCCGCCTTGGAGCATTGATATGCAGTCGAGGAAATGTGGCCTGTGACTCTAACCATGACGCCAAAATCGAAGCGAAATCAGTAGAGCGGCACAGAAAGCCTCGGTGCCATACAGATGTGAAAAAGGGCTCGGTCGGCTCAGTTGTGCGAGGCTCGAGTCCTTGCTCCTCGCTGCGCCGTGCGCTACAGCTGTCGCATGGCAAGTGTGTCGTCGATTCTGTTGTGCTGCTATGGTAGTGCTGCTGCGGCTGGCTGCAGGTGCTGTGCCTGCTCCTACAAGAGCAATGCAGCCACTTGGAGAGCCCCCTTCACTTGACATGCCACCCGATTAGGAAAGAGCAAATTTACACAGTCGGCAAACGCCTCATTTGCTGCATGATCGGGGGTCACTGTCGGTGGTTTAGTAATTGTTGCGATTCATATTTGGATAAGACAGTTGAGTTTGTTGTCTGGAAGTTTGGACAGCGGGAAATTAGTCCTCAGCAAGGAGCGCCTGGTGTCTCGGCTGTAGATAACAATCTTTGCCAGTGGTTGTACTGGCGGCACGACCTCTAGCCTAGTGTCTTTAAATTGTCATGCAGTAGTGAGTACACGAACGCGCGCCAATAGAATTCTCATTTAGAAAAAAAAAAAAAAAGGGTACCGTAAAGTTTCGAGAGAACGGCCGCCCCCGAGATTTCGCCCATCCCGTTTTTCTGGC